GACCAACGTTCAAGGTCAGGGACAACTAGTGTGCCCTCTTCATTTACTGGAGCAGGCGGGGAGGGGGTTCTCCAGATAGGTCTTTGGATTGTTGCCTAAGTGATAATGGACCGACATTATGATGAGGGAGAGTAAGGGGTCAGAACAGCTGAACCTCCCTTGCAAGGGGTAGAAAGCAGAGATCAGATTATCAGCTGATAATGCCCAACAACCTCCCAAGTGGGGAACTCCATGGACAAGTCTCTCTGGTGCCTCACCCGCCAGTCTGCCTCCCATCTAGACCAGCAGGCTGCCTCCCACCCCAAGAAACCTCCCTAGGGGCCGGGTACAGTGGCTCACACCTGTAATCCCAGCACTTTGGGAGGCCAAGGTGGGCGGATCACGAGGTCAACAGATCGAGACTATCTTGGCCAACATGGTGAAACTCCGTCTCTACTAAAAATACAAAAATTAGTGGGGCGTGGTGGCGTGCACCTGTAGCGCCAGCAACTTGGGAGGCTGAGGCAGGAGAATCACTTGAACCAGGGAGGCAGAGGTTGCAGTGAGACGAGATTCACCTCTATTGCCAGCACTCCAGCCGGCAATAGAGGGAGACTCCGTCTCAAAAAAAAAAAAAGAAAGAAAAAAAAAAAAGAAACCTCCCTAGGGACACCCTGGCTTAGGTTCCTCTTCTGAAAAAGCTACTTCCTCTTGTACTAAATCTGGTGGAGGGAGACAGCACAGGAGAAACCCTGTCCTCATCCTACAAGGACAGACAGACAGGACCCCTCCTGTGTGAGGCTAAATACAAATCTTAAAAAATGTAATTTTCCCTGGTTCCAAAAAGGAAAGAGACTCCGCACCACCCCCATTTTCTTAGAGCATTTCCTGAGAAAAACTTGAGGTTGCACATGCTACCTCTGTCCCTTTAAGATGTATGTAAATCTTTTTAAAAGCAAAATCAGCCTCTGGCCAGTTTCACAGCCTGGGAATGTCTTTTATAAGGGTTTGGAGCCATCTCTTTGAAATGTAAACATTAAGGAAGATAGAGTCCCTCTTTCCCTGCCTTTGTGAGAATTAGGCTAGGCATCTGGCTTGAAGCTCCAAAGTACCTGCATGTCAAAAAGATAAAAGAAGCTTTACTTTTCCTTTGGATAAAGGCAATTAGGGACCACAAATGGCCACTCCAATTATCTGGTGTATTTAGGATAAACGGCAAATGGTGCTGCCTGACCCTCTTGCCTGAGGACATCTGCTTGGCTCTAGAAAAGCGAGCTTTCTGTCTTTACACTCTCATTGGTGGGTTGCCCTGATGCACTGTACAGTCACTTTAATGTTTATCCACTAATTGTTGTATTCTTTCCTACATTTGTGGGTTGGTAGGAGGTATTTTATTTTATATTTTATATTTTAATTTTATTTTTTGAGACAGAGTCTTGCTGTCGCCCAGGCTGGAGTGCAGTGGCACAGTCTCAACTCTGCCTCCTGGGTTCAAGCGATTCTCTCAACTTAGCCTCCCAAGTAGCTGGGACTACAGCCTTGCACCACCTCGCCTAGTTATTTATTTTTATTTTTATTTTCATTTTTTAAATAGAGACGGTGTTTCACTAGTTTGACCTGGCTGATCTCAAACTCCTGACCTCAAGTGATCTGCCTGCCTTGGCCTCCTAAAGTACTGGGACTACAGGCATGAGTCCCTGCATGCAGTCTGGAGGTTTCATTTTTAATTATTTCCCCAACACCTGCTCTCTTGAAAAGCAGTGGGCATCAGGTTTTCCAGAGGCCATCCAGATGTGTCAGAAGGCCTCAGGTCCTAGCCCCATTCATTCTTCCTAGCGGGTAATAGGCAGAGAGGCCCTTGGAGTAGGAGGGAGAAGGGAGAGAAGGAGGGGAGAGGAGAGGAGAGAGGAGACGTGTCCACTCACTGCAGCACGGAAAGGGTCCGGTTGGAGGCTAAGGCCTCAGCCATGGACCTGGCCCCATCATCCCTGACGGTGTTGCCTTGGAGGCTGCAGAGACAAGAAGAGGCGCATCACTGATGGAACAGAAGCTGGAACCCAGTGGCCTGAACCGTCTCTGCAGTGGGGGCACCTCTATGGAGCAAGGGGTTCTGACCACTCTGTGCCCTCACTGCCCACCATGCAGGGAGAGCAGTCGACCCTTTGCACCACTGCCTGGAGCTTAGGTTTTTCTTTGGGTTGCTAAGCATTTGCCTGCCAGCTGGGAACAAGCTCTCTGAATAACCACAACAGGGTCATCAATCATCCTCATTACAGCTGAAAGACACAGGATCCAAGTGTTGGTGAGAATATGGAGAAACTGCAACACTGCTGATGGGAATGCAAAAAGGTCCGCTCTCTGTGGAACATGGTCTGGCAGGTCCTTAAAAGGTTAAACATGGGTTGACCATGTGACTCAGCAATTCCATTCCTAGGTATATACTCAAAAGAATTGAAAACAGGCACCGAAAGTCTTATTCACCAGTTTTCACAGCAGCGTTATTCATATAACCAAAAGGTGGAGACAACCCAAATGGCCGTCATTGGGTGAATGGATCAACACATCATGGTCTGTCCATCCCACAGAATATGATTCAGCCTTAAAATGGAGGGAAGAGGCTGGGTGCAGTGGCTCACACCTGTAATCCCAGCACTTTGGGATACCAAGGTGGGTGGATCACTTGAGGTCAGCAGTTCGAGACCAGCCTGGCCAACATGGTGAAACCCCATCTCTACTAAAAATACAAAAATTAGCTGGGTGTGGTAGCACATGCCTGTAATCCCAGTTACTCAGGAGACTGAGACAGGAGACACGCTTGAACCCAGGAGGCAGAGGTTGCAGTGAGCTAAGAACATGCCACTGCACTCCAGGCTGGGTGACAGAGTGAGACTCCGTCTTAAAAAAAAAAAAAAAGAAAAAAGAAAAAAAAAGTTAAAATAAAATGGAAGGAAGCATTGACACATGGTACCACACAGAAGAAGCTTAAAAACATCATGCTCAATGAAGAAAGCCGGCCACCAAAGGCTGGACTATATAAATCTATTTACATGAAATGTCCAGTATAGGTAAATCCTTAGAAATGGGAAGCAGATTGGTGATTGCAAGGGGCTGGGGAAAGGGGAGAATGGGAAGTGACTGCTTGTGGGTATGCGATCTCCTTCGGGGTGATGAAAATATTCTGAACTGGACAGATGTGATGGTGGCACAACATTGTGAATGTGCTAAATGTCACTGAACTGTACACTTGAAAACAGTCAGGTGTTTTTAGATGGAGTCTCACTCTGTCACCCAGGCTGGAGTGCAGTGGCGCGATCCGCCTCCCAGGCTCAACTCAACCTCAGCCTCCTGAGTAGCTAGGACCACAGGCACCTGCCACCATGCCCGGCTAACTTTTTGAACTTTTTTTTTTTTTTTTTTTATTGAGATGAGGTTTTACCATGTTGGCCAGGCTGGTCTCGAACTCCCAACCTCAAGTGATCCACCCGCTTTGGCCTCCCAAAGTGCTGGGATTACAGGCGTCAGCCTCTGGGACCCGCCTAAAACAGTCAATTTTATGGTACATGAATTTCACCCTAATAAAAATAAATAAATAAATGAAAACACAGAACAGAAAAGCGGTACCCACTCAACTAATGATAGATACAACCACAGGCTCTTAAAAGAGATACAACGGGCTGGGCTCAGTGACTCATGCCTGTAATCCCAGCACTTTGGGAGGCCAAGGCAGGCAGATGGCTTGAGTGCAGGAGCTCAAGACCAGCCTGGCCAACATGGTGAAACCTCGTCTCTACTGAAAATACAAAAAAATTAACCGGGCTTGGTGGCAGGCGCTTATAATCCCAGATACTTGGAAGGCTGAGGCAGGAGAATCGCTTAAACTTGGGAGGCAGAGGTTGCAGCGAGCCAAGATCGCGCCACTGCACTCCAGCCTGGATGACAAAGAAAGACTCCGTTTCAAAAGAAAAAGAGAGAGAGACATAACAAACCACATCACACATCTGCCCCTGCTCGGGCCACACACACAAGCTCAAAGTCTAGGGAAGAGCTGGAGCCTGGAAACTTGTTTAGGGCACAAGATCCCCAGAACCCAGTGGGATGGAAGCCAGTATCCCATGCCTGCCATCTTTGTTTGCTTGTTTTGAGACGGAGTTTCACTCTGTCAGTCACACAGGCTGGAGTGTAGTGGCGCGATCCTGGCTTACTACAACCTCTGCTTCCCAGGCTCAAGCGATTCTCCTACCTTAGCCTCCCAAGTTGCTGGGATTACAGGCACCTGCCAACACGCCAGCTAATTTTTGTATTTTAGTAGAGATGGTGTTTTGCCACGTTGGCCAGGCTGCTGTCAAACTCCTGACCTCAAGCAATCCACCTGTCTCAGCCTCCCAAAGGGTTGGGATTACAGGTGTGAGCCACTACACCCGGCCCCATGCCTGCCTTCGTGAATCACCTCCCATTCTCATAGTTAGTGCCTGAGGAGAGGGTTTTCTGGGCCCTCTCTTGGGGTCACAAGACAGGGAGCAGGTGACACACACCTCAGAGAGGTCAGGGTGCGGTTGATCTTCAGAGCATCTGCCAGCGCCTTGGCCCCTTGTGGTCCAATGGAGTTAGCGCGGAGGCTGAAGGAGGAAGAGAGAAAGAGACGCCTCCTTCATCTGTCTCCCAGGGAGGGAAGGGGAAACAAACTGCATTGACCTTGAAATTCGTGATCCTCTAAGTGAATGTATGAGGGCTTAGGATCTCATGTTTGGTGGAACCGGGGCAGAGATCCTTATATGAACAAGGAAGGAGTTTCCCCAAGACTGTCCCAGTTGTTGGGGGAAAGAAAGCAGGACCTGATGGACTAGTGGGCTTGGGCCAAATGTAGAGATGAGAATGATGGCCCCAGATATAGGGCCAAACATCTGGTGTGTCCCTGGCTGGAGACCAGCAACTGAGGAGCCATGGTTCTGCCCGGCTGTCCTTCCGTCCCACCAGGAAGCATGTGCGCTAAGGTATGGCCTCCCTGTGTCTTATTCCCACAGGAGTCTTAGAAGCTACTCCAAATGAAGTATGGGTGTTATGTCCAGATGCTACCCAGGGGCTGAATCATGGGAATCAGGGACGAACAGACAGGTAAGACCCCAGTCATTTCCTAGGAGGGAAGGGGACTTCATGAGGTGCCTCACAACTCTTCTGGTTCCAATGGCAAAAGTTCGGCCTTGGTTGTCCTACTTACTCCAGAGAGGTCAGACTTCTGTTGACCAGGAGGGATCTGGCCAGAGCTTTGGCCCCTTTGTTACTGATCTGGTTCTCTGCCAAGCTGCCCAAGGAAAGGGAGAGGAGTGGTTATTTTGGGCATGCACATCTCATGGCCTCTTCCTCAACACCGTGCCCATGATTATTCCTGTAGGCCTCCCCACATCATCAGGGTCTGGACACAGCTGGAGATGAGGTGACCCCTGGAGCAGAATGCCAGGTACAGCAGAGCCCCTGAGCCTGGGCAGCATAGGGCCAGAGTAGGAGGACAGACTCTCACCATGGCAAAGGGTCCCTGAAAAAAGTTTAACCAGAATCCAGCACAACAGCTTCTACACAAACAGCACAGCAAAGAAAATGGAAATCTCAGAAGCCTAACATGCAAATGGCAGCCAGTGGTGTGCTGGTAAACTGGCTCCCAGAAAAACAAAATTTCAAAAACTGGGCTGTGCATGGTGGCTCATGCTTATACAATCCTAGCACTTTGGGAGGCCAAGGTGGGAGCATCACTTGAAACCAGGAGTTTGAGACCAGCCTGGGCAACATAGGAAGATCTTGTCTTTACAAAAAAAAACATAAAAATTAGCCGGATGTGGTGGCACACCTGTAGTCCAAGCTACTTAGGAGGCTGAGGAGGGAGGATTTAGCCCAGGAGGTAGAGGCTGCAATGAGTCATGATCAATGACATCACTGCGCTCCAGCCTAAGCGACAGAGTGAGACCATGTCTCAAAACAACAACAACAAAACAAAAAGCAAATGCAGAAACAAATGCTACCAAACTGATTTGTAGCATTTGCCAATTTCCATGGTATAAATACTCCCACCAACACCAAGTTCAAGCACCTCCAGCTTGCAAAATTCCTGAAAAATTTAACAATCAGCTCGTGAACTGGTACAAATGAATTTAGGCACACTACTGATCCTAGCCTCTTTTCTAGTGCAAAATGGCAAATAGTAGAGTTATTTAAAATTAGCTTTAAAATTAAAAAAAAAAAAAAAAAAAAAAAAAGGCACGTCTTGATCTGCCTTGAGAGCATGGTTCTGGGAATATGGTGAAGGATCAACTCAATGTTGCTTCATGTTTCCAGTAGCAGAAATAGTAGCTGTCTAGGCTCTTTGCAGTTTGTAGGCATTCAGCCCCATGGGGTATAGTAAGTAGTTCAGTTAGAATCCCCAGGCTGGTGCTCTTCTTTTTCTTTTTTCAGACAGGATCTCATTCTGTCACCCAGGCTGGAGTGCAGTGGCACGATCATGGCTCACTGTAACCTCAAACTCCCGAGCTCAAGAATCCTCCCACTTCAGCCTCCCAAGTAGCTGGGACCAGAGGTGCATGCTACCACACCTGGCTAGTTTTTTAATTTTTTGCAGAGACAGGTTTTTACTATGTTGCCCAGGCTGGTTTCAAACTCCTGGGCCCAAACGATCCTCCTGTCTTGGCCTCCCAAAGTGCTGGAATTACAGGCATGAGCCACCGTACCCGGCCTCGTACTTTTCAAGCTATATTCAAGCAAACTGTTCACTGGAATAAAGTCTCTTTTCTCTAAATTCCTTTTCAGAGAACTTCAATTCAATTCACAGCATTTGTCCAGGACACCTCTATATAAATGTTCTCAAATTCTAAAGTGCTTCCATCCCCCGGGACTTTATGGTATTTTATAAGTTGTATTTAACTTATAGTTGAAATAGAGATGTGGCACTGAGGATCAACTACAGAGAGGTAAAGAAGAGCATGTGGCCAGAGAAGAGATTTTTGACTTCATTCAGAATAATTTACTTTTATTTTTATTTTTAGTAAAGATGGCATCTTGCCATATGTTTCCCAGGTTAGTGTTGAACTCCTAGCCTCAGAGAATCCCCCCACCTTCCAGATTGCTAGAATTATAGGAAAGAGCCACTGTGCCTGGTCCCCGAATAATTTCTGAGCACTACCTAGCCTCCTTAAACAAAACTAAAACTTGGCTATTTTGTCATGTGCTAAAAATGCTGGGGGCTCTCACAAAGGAAAAAAAGTATTAATAATGAGAATTTGTCATTCTTTTTCTTTTCTTTTCTCCTTCTTTTTTTTTTTTTTTTTTTTTGTGAGACGGAGTCTTGCTCTGTCACCCAGGCTGGAGTGCAGTGGTGCGATCTTGGCTCACTGCAACCTCTGCCTCCCGGACTCAAGCAATTCTCCTGCCTTAGCCTCCTGAGTAGCAGGGATTACACACACCCACTACCACGCCCTGCTAATTTTTGTATTTTTAGTAGAGACAGAGTTTTGCCAGTTTGACCAGGCTGGTCTCGAACTCCTGACCTCAAGTGATTCACCAGCCTCAGTCTCCCAAAAGGCTGAGATTAAAGGCGTGAGCCACCGCCCCTGGCCTAGATATACTTCTAACTCCATTTTTACCCTCTTTAGGCACAGAAATGACTTGTTCAAACTCACACAGAGCCTACACCTCTAACCACACTCCCCAGTGATTTATTTTTGTTCCTGAATCAGTCTAAATTGCCATTAACTCAGATAAAGATTATTTCAGCCGGGCGTGGTGGCTCACATCTGTAATCCCAGTACTTTGGGAGGCCGAGGCGGGTGGATCATGAGGTCAGGAGATCGAGACCATCCTGGCTAACACGGTGAAAACCCATCTCCATTAAAAACACAAAAAAATAGCTGGGCGAGGTGGCGGGCACCTGTAGTTGCAGTTACTCGGGAAACTGAGGCAGGAGAATGGTGTGAACCCGGGAGGCGGAGCTTGCAGTGAGCCGAGATGGCACCACTGCACTCCAGCCTGGGCGACAGAGCAAGACTCTGTCTCAAGAAAAAAAAAAACAAAAAAGATTATTTCAGAACCCAGAGGCTTGTATGAGAATGAAGAATTACCCTTGGGTGCGGTGGCTCACACCTGTAATCCCCGCACTTTGGGAGGCTGAGGCGGATGGATCACTTGAGGTCAGGAGTTTGAAACCAGCTTGGCCAATATAGTGAAACTCTGTCTCTACTAAAAATACAAAAATTAGCTGGGCGTGGTGGTAGGTGCCTGTAGTTCCAGCTACTTGGGAGGCTGAGACAGGAGAATGGCTTGAACCTGAGAGGTGGAGCTTGCAATGAGCCAAGATCGTGTCACTGCACTCCAGCCTGGGCAACAGAGTGAGACTCTCCCCCACAAAAAAAAAAAAAAAAAAAAATTTCCCCTGGGGTTCTCTTCTCTAAACTCACCTCCCTAGGTCTCCAACAGCCACCCTTAGAGGATCAATCACATCGATTCAACCACAAACGCTGGGTGTGTGTAGTTTCTCAGATCCAGGAATGTTACTCCAGGAGAGATTTCATAAGTTCACATTCAGCATGTGAACTTTTGTCTAATTACAGGATGCAGGGTTTTTTGTTTGTTTTGCTTTTTGAGACACAGTCTCACTCTGTTGCCCAGGCTGGAGTGCAGTGGCGCGATCTCAGCTCACTGCAAGCTCCACCTCCCAGGTTCACGCCATTCTCCTGCCTCAGCTTCCTGAGTAGCTGGGACTATAGGCGCCCGCCACCACGCCCGGCTAATTTTTAGTAGAGATGAGGTTTCACCGTGTTAGCCAGGATGGTCTCAATCTCCTGACCTCGTGATCCGCCCGCCTCGGCCTCCCAAACTGCTGGAATTACAGGTGTGAAACACCACACCCGGCCACAAGATGCAGTTTTAATTAAAAATTGTTTAAACTGATTTATAAATAAATTTGAAATTAAATTTTAATTAAATTAAATTTGAAATTTAAAATTTTAATTATAAATGCAATTGGCGGGGTGCAGTAGCTCACGCCAGTAATCCCAGCACTTTGGAAGGCCGGGGCGGGTGGATCACAAGGTCAGGAGTTCGAGACCAGCCTGGCCAACATGGTGAAACCCTGTCTCTACTAAAAATACAAAAACTAGCCAGGCATGGTGGTGGGTGCCTGTAATCCCAGCTACTCAGGAGGCTGGGGCTGGAGAATTGCTTGAACCTGCTAGAGGTTACAGTGAGCCAAGATCGTGCCACTGCACTCCAGCCTGGGCAATAGAGCAAGACTCTGTCTCGGTGGGGAAAAAATGCAATCCTGTGCCTAGAATGCTGTTGGACAGCAAACTTGGAGAGGTGGTTAGAGAACATCGTGCCTGGTGTTATGTCAGCACATGTAGTGCTGTGGAAACACCTGCCCATGCACAACGGTGTCGAGTCCTCGGCCAGGTCACCTCCCTCTTCCTACTGATGAGGCACCTGAGCCTCTGGCACTTTCTGGAATTGGGCAGAAATAAGCAGGCTGCATCTGGAGCCACATGCTCCAAAGACACCTCTCCGTGGCAGCACCAATGGCCTGCTGAGTAGAGGATGATGAGAAGAGGGTTCCATACCCCACAAGACCATGGGCACCCTGGGGGTCCCCTGGGTCTGCATTACCTGATCTTCTGAATGCGACAGTCCTTCCCACTCAGCACGCTGCCCAGCAGCTCCATCACGGGGTCCTGGAACTGGTTGGTGTCCAGCCTGGCCAAGGGGAGCAGTGACAGTGAGTGTCCCACCCGCCCACTGGCAGGGTGGGGGCCCTGGTCTGGGGCCTCTGCCTCTCTCCATCCCATTCAGCGCCATCACCGCAGCTCTGAGATCTGTGCTCAGCCCCAGTGCTCGAACCTTTCCCATGAGAGTGAACAGGAGGCTCGGTCCCCATGAGACCTGCAGTTCCTATGCAGAATGGCATCTTCTACGGGCTGTCGTCCTCACCACCCCACACGCCGCCTGCCTCTGCGGGACACCTGGATGACCCTCAGCCTGTGTCCTGTCCTCCCTATTCACTAAGGTCCAGAGCGGCGGGCGGGGGGTGGGCTGAGAGTATTCAGGGGGGCAGCTTCTGTCAGACTGGATGGTTCTGAGGGTTTATGAAGTGAATTGTGTCCCCACAAAAGATACAAAGTCCTAGCCCCCGGTGCCCCAAGTATGTGGCTTTATTGGGAAATGGGGTCACTGTGGATGTACTTTGTTAAGGTGGGGTCATGCTGGAGTGGGGTGGGCCTGTAATTCAATGTGACAGTGTCCTTTTAAGACTAGAAAGCGGCCGGGCGCGGTGGCTCACGCCTGTAATCCCAGCACTTTGGGAGGCCGAGACGGGCGGATCACAAGGTCAGGAGATCGAGACCATCCTGGCGAACACGGTGAAACCCCGTCTCTACTAAAAAATACAAAAAACTAGCCGGGCGAGGTGGCGGGCGCCTGTAGTCCCAGCTACTCGGGAGGCTGAGGCAGGAGAATGGCGTAAACCCGGGAGGCGGAGCTTGTAGTAAGCCGAGTTCGTGCCACTGCACTCCAGCCTGGGCGACAAGGCAAAAACCCCCTCCCAAAAAAAAAAAAAAAAAAAAAAGACTAGAAAGCACTGTCCAGGAGCAGTGGCTCACGCCTGTAATCCCAGCACTTTGGGAGGCCGAGGTGGGCAGATCACCTGAGGTCAGGAGTTCAAGACTAGCCTGGCCAACA